GCGGCAGGCGAGAGTTTGAGTACCTAAAAACCCTAAATCCTGGACACTAAAGCCCTAACTTTGGTTTTCGAGCAGTCGGCGAGCCGGCCCTAGCTGGGGTAACTCAGGCATCCTCCATCATGAAGAGGACACCGCCACCGCAGCCGAAAGTGGAGAGTCGCAGGAGTCGTCGTCCGAGCGCGAGTCTGTGACCTGTCCCATTCGCTGTAGGCGGTTTCTGTTGCTAGCTGTGCTAGTATCAGGTTTCTTGGTGCCATTGTTATGCTCCGTCCCTTTCCCTTGTTGCCGACAGCTAAGGCAATTTGGGATCACCGAAGAAGGAGATTTCCCGAGGTTATCGTCGACACGGGTCGGGATGCAGGAAATGCGGCGGTAAACGCCGCAAAGAGCCCCATTGACACCTTGAAGGATGGATACAACGCTGCTAAAGACAAGGTGGGGTATTTGATGTCTCTGCACAGCCTGTCGAAATTGTACGATTGCCTTGCTGATGCTTTGATGTAGCACCGTGAAACCGTGAGGCTGAATGGTTGAAGAACAACGCAATCTCGACTGTGGAACAGGCCGTCGCGATTCTGAGCCAAGGGTTCTCAGACTTTGGGGCCAGCTGCCCCCACAGTTCTGCGCCTTCGATCAGAACATTCAACCGTTATGAGCTTAAAATCTTCTTTGGGGATCTCCGCTGCAAGATCAGCCTGATGGGGCAGTCGACCCCCTTGTTCGGACTCAACTTCGGCGAGCACAGAATTGGATTGCCGAGCCAGTTTAAAATTCTCTGGCACGTGGGATGGGAGCTGGTGGACAGCTGCAGGGGAACCCACAACCACATCGAGGTGACCAAGTGCCTTGCCAGATCGCTTGCAAAGTTCAGTCCTCCATTGGATTTGCTTCCGTCGCAGATGCGGATACTTTATCACCTAGGGTGGGAGCTGCAGAACACCTGCCACACCCACAACCACAAAGAGGTGACCAAGTGCCTTGCCAGATCGCTTGCCAAGTTCAGTCCACCAGTGGACTTCCTGCCCGACCCGTTGAAGAAAGTTGCTAATGGCCAAGTCTTGGATCTTCTGCCTCATCAACTGAAGAAAGTTGCCAATGGCAATATCCAGGATCTCCTGCCTAACCCGTTGAAGACAATTGCCAATGGCAATATCCAGGATCTCCTGCCTAACCCGTTGAAGACAATTGCCGATGGCAACATCATGCAGCTCATACCTGCAATGCAAGTTCTTTCAGGTGGAAAGACGAAT